AGCCTGCACATGCGTGCCAGGCCGCGGTCTGCCGGCATCTTCGGCCACCTTCTGTGCGTGGCCTCATTTTGATGATGATTCCTTGGAGGAGGGGAGCAGCCACGCAGCGGGACCTGGTGGGAAGCGCGGAGGATGGAACAGGAAGAAACTGCAGGGGGTTTCTGGGGACAGTCCCCAGCATTCCCTGTCCGTGGGGCCAGGCTTCCCCCACCAGGATGCCCATGTGGGGCTGTGCCACTTGGGAGGCAGCTGCTGCAGGTGCTAAACCAGGCGCCTGTCACCTGCCTGGGGTGCAACTGACAAGGTGACATGTGTCCGGGAGGTTTGGACCAAAGGTCTCAAAGCTGGTGGGGATATGGAGTCTACAGCCCCTTTCCCAGCATGGAGGGGACCCTGAAGGGCTCACCCATCCCTGCCCAAAGGATGATGGGGGGAGGCAGAGGAGGACACGGGTGCTGGGACACAGCAGATGCACTTCGTCACCCATCCAAGGGGAGTGTGTGTGTGTTGGGGGAAGGGGTGCCTGGGTGTGTGGGTGCATTTATTGCCTCTTCCCGCCAGCGCTGGCTCCCTGTGCCCACACAGGACACAAGGGCACAGCTCCGCTGCTCGCTGGACTTTTACCCTGCTGTGCAAACAGGCAGGCACCAGATTAGGGTATCAGTTGGAATTTCATCCTGTCAACGGCACACGCAGGCTCTCTGGGAGGGCAGTGGAGCATCTTCCCTCCAGCCCAGCCCCTCGCCTGCTCATGGGCACCTTAACACAGTGGGTGGATTTGGGACATGCATGTTTCATCTGGGGCTGCCAACACCTCATCCCCTGACAGGGCTGGATCCCACTGGATGGTCCCCATGTTGCGGTGACAAATTGGATGTCAAAGGCAGGTGAAGCCAGGGATCACGCTGGAGCCTCCATGTGGAAGCAACCCCAGTTTCTGCAGTCCAGCCCAGCTCTTTGGGCAGGCGGCCCAACCACTCTCATCCATTTCCCCATACAGAACTAGCTCCACTGTCTTTGTCTCCCCAGCCTGTTTTAGCTCCTGATGTCCCATGTCCACCTGCAGGGATGCAGGGAGGTGGTGGTCCCATTGGTGGTCCCATGCCATGGGCAGCCCAGGCGTTGTGCTGCTGAGCACGGAGTCACCAGGGTGCGGTGGTAGGTGCAGCTGCTGTCGCAAGGTCAGGAAAAAACCCTTTGCTCTGGCCCTGTCTCTGCAATGCCACCTCATCCTGCCTCTGCTCCTCCATCTCCTCCACCCACAGGACTTTATCCTGCATCAGATGTGCCTCCATAGCCTGTCCTGTCCTCGGCACAACCGCCCCACACACATCTCTTCCCAGGTAAGACTTAGCATGTTTTGGGGCTGGAGGAGCTGTTTGGGGCAGGGATTTGAGGGCACCCCCTTGATCAATGCCCAGCAGGACCAGGAGGACGTGACTGGGATGGAGAGAGGAGAGTGTCAGGCACCGATGCCAGCTGTCCCAGGCACTATCTCACATCCTCATTCTCTGTTTGCTCTTCTTGGACGAGGAGGATATTCAGCCCATCAACAGCCATAAAACGAGATTAGAGGCCAGGAAGCACCAATGGGAGGTGGCCACGTCCGTGGGCAGCTGGCCTTGTTCTTTGGCCTCCATCAGCCCAAGCCTGGCCTCACCCTTTCCCTGGCTGCCCCCAGGGCTGTGAGTTTGGAGCTGATGGGTTGCCCAGCACAGCCACCCCTCTTGGTGACAAAGAGATGTGTACATACCATATCATGGCATGGGCCATGCCATCGCCAGCAATATCCCTATGGGATGGGCATGCTGCATGCTACAGAGTCCAGGCTGCTGCACCAAGACATCCATCCATCCATCCATCCATCCATCCCATTTCAATGGGGCAGGGCTCAGGAGCATCTGTGCTGGTGCAACCCCGAAGCTGGCATCCCCACTGTGCCGCAGCACCATAGGCCAGGAGGAGACAGCAACAAACCCACAGAATTCCCGCTTGCTTTTATTGTCACCAATGCCTAAAATATAAAAAGGAAATCCAGTTCTGCCTTATATACACATAAACTGAGCCAAAGCCCCGAGCCAATGCAAACACCATCCTCACCACTGAACACAGCTGGCAGCGGTGGCCGGTGGTGTCACCAGCCCCCATGAAGGGAGACCCAAATCCCACGAGGGATGGAGCAGGGCTGTGGGCACAGTGGGATGGCAGGGACCCACTTGTAAAAGCCACAGTGTGCCTGGGCACCTTGTTATCTGGGCCAGGACATGCTGGGAGTGATATGAGGCTGGCAACAGATAGCACAGATGAGGGAGGCAGTGCACAAGCAGTGTTGGGTGTGACGTGAGGCTGCTCTGCAGGCAATAAGGGAGTGCCTGCTGCTCCTCCTTTCTGGAGCTTGGAGAGATGGTGCTGGGAAAGGCTGTGCAAGGTGCCATGCAAGGGTTGTGCTCCCTCATCCCTGTCTGTCTTGGGAAGCCTCAGCCCAGGAGCACCCAGTGCAGCCCCAGTCAGGAGCTACAGACCCTCCTGTGTCCCTGTTGTACCCAGATGGCCTTTGGAGCATCTGAGATTAGGCTCTAAGTTAACCCAGGCCAATACAGAGGTGGTGCAGCGCATGGAGGATGGGGGAGACAGGGTCAACAAAACCTGGAGTACCTTGGGTTTTGAAGAAAATTCTCAGTCTTTCTGGAAACCACCTCTCCATCACCTCACACCAGGGCATGTGCCAGCCCTTCCCCTGCCTGAGACAGCCCCTGACCTCCCTGGCAGCAGCTCCCAGTGCCCGTGGTTGCTGCTGTCCCTTGGAGCAGCACCCCAAAGCTCTCCCAGTATTGGTCCTTCTGGATGGCCTGGGTCCGGTTGTTGCACCCTGTCCCAGTGGCAAACCTTCTTGTTCTCCTCCTGTTCCCCACGGGAAGGTGGGCTCAGGGCTCAGGAGGGTGACCTGCCTCCAGTGTGCCTGTGCCTGGTTCCCTCCTCTCTGTGTTGCAGGTGGAGGATGGAGCAGTGCTGCTTTGCCGTGGCACAGCTGGGGCACCAGGGCTGCCAGACACTTCTCCATGTGGCCCTTTGTGGCTGCAGGGGAAGGGTGGGAGCACAGGAATGAGCACTGTGGGATAGTGGGGAATGTGGGTGAGGATATACGGGGTCTCTTGCCAAGGACATGCTCCAGCTCATCACTATCACCATGGTGTGAAGGAGTTCCCCCTCAGGTCCTTCAGCCAAGGGTCCTGCCCTGCTCCCACAGTCCAGCTCGCTCTGCCTTTGGCACCCCGCTTCCCGGCACAGCAGATCCAGGAGACCAGCTCAGCAGAAACTTGTTCTGCCTTGAGTCCAGCCAGGTCTCTTTTCAGTCCAGTCTTGTTCGAACTGCTCCAAAAGCACCAGGCAGAAGGACTGAAGGAAGCGTCCTACCTGCTTCATCTGAAGCACCATAGGAAAGTCATCCTCCATCACCACCCCCTTCCTTCTGCTGCCATTAGGACCTTGCTTTGGGCTACAAACACTAGAGACCAGACCGGTGCATGTGTCCTTCAGGAGAGCAATACAACCTAACCTGTGGTTTTTACATAGGAGAACCCACCAGCCCCCTGGGAAGGTCCTGGTGCCACCTTGCCCAGCCTCGCTGGCCACCCCGTTGGCTCAGCCAGGGACCATTGTGTCTTTGGGAAGGGGCTGTCACTCTTCAGAGCACACGGGCTGGCTGGGCTCTGCTGCATAGTGCTTATCTCTTGGAGTCTATAGCTGGTGAAGGGGGTTAAGGCATGAATTCTTCCTTGATGGTCAGTGGAGATGAGGAGACAAGGTTCGGGGCATTGCTGCTGCAGAGGCCTCCGATGGGTCCCAACGTGCTGACAGCCGGTGAGGTTGGTGTGGTGGTGCTGGTGGGCTGGCTCTGCTGCTGCATCTTCTTTTTGTTCACCTTCCTCTCTTTCGCCCTCCGATTCTGAAACCAGATTTTCACCTGCAGAAGGACAAAGATGTCAGTGCAGAGAGGGTGATGGATGCAGATGATGGCAACCCTCATGTTCCCCCGGGGCAGGAAGGGCATCTCAGAGTGTGGAAGAGAAGGGAGATCTCTGGAGCAAGGTGGGACCAGTGCTGCCTGCTTGGGCTGCATCCCTTCCCCTCCCCAGACCCATCTCTGCTGGGATGCTGCAGCACTGACCTGCCGCTCGGTGAGCCCCAGGGCAGCGGCCAGCTCGGCCTTGCGGCGGATGGTGATGTAGCGGCTGTAGTGGAACTCCTTCTCCAGCTCCAGGCGCTGGTGGTCAGTGTACACCACCCGGTACTTGTCTTTCGTCCTGGTTTTGCCTGGCAGAGAAAGCAGAGCAGGGGATGAGGGGATGAAGGGGAGCAGTAGAGGAGTAGGAGCATCCCTAAGGCATGGAGGAGATGCACAACCACCTAAGGAGAGCTCAGGAGAAACATGGCAATGCCCTGAGGACCAGTGTGAGAGCCACGAGACTCCTACTAGATTCAATGCCCATCCTGGTAAGCATCAGGGTGTGTTTTCATGTTGGAAAGTACCTGGGCTTTGTGGAACTTGCTTGGTGGAAAGAGCAGGAGGGATTTAAAGGTATCTCAAGAAGATGAACCATAAATCCCATGTGCCATGACACAATGTCCCAAAGAGGAGCTACAAGCCCTGTGGTGGGCTGAGGACATTGAGAAGTCTCATTGACACCATCCCTAGTGGAAGCAGGAGTTTGGGTGGTGTAGAGCAAAACTGTGCTTCAGAGACTCCAGAGTAGACATGACTCTAATCAGACATCAGAGAATCTCCACAGAGCAGAACTACAGCCCCCAGGTTGCAAATGTGTTTCTCAGCCAATCCAATTTTATTTTTAAAGGTGTCTCTCTCCTGTTTACCCATTGCAAGGAGACAAGGACTTTCCTAAGCCACTTCTTCTGCTGAAAGATAAATGTTAAAGAGCATCTGAGGCAGGACAACCCACGGCCATGGTACACTGCGAGTGGGAGAAGGATTCCCTTGGAGTCACTTCCCTCACAGCATCCCATGGGATACAAAGAGGCAGCTGGTTTTCTACTAAGCAAGCAAGAACCAGCAAAGGTCCAGCTCCTGCTGTTGGCCACTGAGAAACCACATGTGGAAACACATGAATGTGCACACCCCTGGGTGCAAGTGGGAGCTGGGGCGGGCACAGGAGACGTCTTGCCCCGCTGGGATTTGACCCCATGCTCCCAGGCACAAAAGGAGCAGACCTGCCGTTCAAGTTAGCACCCGATTTCCATGACTATGGCACTCTCTGTGTTCTCCTGCCATTGCTCCTGGAGGTACTGGAATGGACTCAGCCTGATGTGAGTGTAGGGTGAGGGTTGAGGGTCCCAGTGTGGTCCTCTAAAAGCACTGAATATCTCCAGCGGTCCATGAAGGAAGGTAGGAGCACAGCAAGGCTGCAGCATGGCCAGGAATAGAAATCAGACCTTCCATCTTCAGCCACTAAGTCATACTTGAGGGATGTGATGAATTCAGTCACTGCTTTAGAGAGTGTGGAGCTCAGCTCATCCCAGGGCTGTTTGTTTGGCAGTGAACACCTAATCCCTCCTCACCGCCACTGAGAGCAAGCCTGCCTCTGACCACACAGGGTGACTGCAGGTAAAAACAGGGTAAAAAAGGTGATTTGGTTGAGCAAGGTGTGTATGGAGATGTCTGCAGACACATGGCTGAAAACAGTGATTTCATGTGCAAGGGGCCCACAGCAGCATTGCTGGGTGCTTGTCTCCTCTTTGGCAGCTCGGAACAAACCTGACCACAGCACAGTGCTGGGCAGGAGCGATACTGGGGACACCCAGCATAATGTGGGACCCCACATTCTCCCCTTGCTCTCCCACTGGGTCCCTGTCCACCCCATGGTGACGGGTTCATTGGTGTGAGAAGGATCCTGCATCCCAGTCCAGGAGAGACCTGGGCTTAATTTGCAACCATAGTGATTCCCAGGGAGTTACAGAATAAACCAGATGCGGCGGTGAAGATTTATGCAAGGTTTAGCAGCTCCGTGAGAAACCAGGCTCCCTCTGTCAGCTCCAGGATCAGGGACTCCTACAAGCTTCTTTCTTTCTCATATAAACTTATCTTTTTTTCTCTTTCATTTGAAAGCAGAAACCTTTTTGAAGAGATAATGACTTAGAAATGATCTTATTTGCAATGTTGGTATTTGAATACTGCTGCTTGTGGTAGAAAACCACAGCTGGAAAGCAAAGGAATTGACAGATAGTGTAAAAAAAAAAATTAAAGAATAAAGAAATAAGGCGGTTTGTGAATACCACATATGCCATGAATTTCAGCAAGAATTATGCTGCAGCTGTAAATAGATCCATCACAGCCTGTTCTTTGTTATTCCCTCTTTCCTGTTCATCCTTGAGGAAGCCTGTGCTTTGCCTCAGGTCTGGCAGATATCCAGCTGTGCTGGTGAGTCTTTGCTGTGTGAGCTGGCACCAGTCTCTCGATGCCCAATATCAGGTAGCAAAGACTCAAAGCAGAGAACTCCTGACCAAGCCAGGGATGGAAAACTATTCATCTCAACTAATTGCTGGTTTCGGATGTTTGCTGAATTCGGGAATGTATTGAGAGTGATTCACAAGGAAAAGGAAAGGATTCACAAGAAACACTATTGACAATGAATAATTCAACTACCTTGAATATGAATGCTGGGTTACACTTAACTCTCTCCTGGAGACTTTTTATGGCTCTGTGAAAGGAAAGCGGAAATTCGGACAAGCTCCTTATGGGGAGCCCTCGTACCTATGGGAAAACCCTGGCACTGCAGCAGGGACCATGGTCAAGCAAAGGGGTGGAGATGCTCCATGTGTCCAGCAAAGCCTGGCAGACATGGACTGGGTTGTCCCACAGCCAGGATAACCTGGAGCTGCTTCACCAGGAAGGAGCACAGATGAGATGAACGGGTGGCAAAGTGCTGGTGTTGCCTCCTAGCACAACTGCTAGCTCCTTCCAGACCTGCCATGTATTTAAAGCCCCTCCTGCTTGTCCCCAAAAGACCAGGCAAAGGAACAGCTCAGGCAGCCAAATGGAGCCATCCACAGGGCCAGTGGGAATGGTTTCGGCTTTGGGATCAAGGCAGGGCCAATGGCTGCGTGGGGAGAGGGTATCGTTACTACTGTTAATGTATAACCCTAATAGCACTCACCTGAGCTGTGATTAGATAAGGGAATAGCTTTAATGTGCTGTGCAAACCCCAAGGGACACACTCCTGAGTGTGCACGCACACGCACCCATGCTCACACACACGTGGGGGGCCGGGGTCCCAACCCCAGCCTGGATCCACTCCCCATGGCATCCCTGGCCCAGGGATGGAGCTCCTGCCCTGGACTGGGCTGGGAAAGAGAAAATCCAACTAGATCCTTGTGCCCATCATCCAGGGCTTTTCACCCTCATGACCATGGTAGAGCCCACCAAGGAGACGATAATTCCCCCTCTCCAGCCCTGCTGTGCCCAAGGGATGTTTTCAACAAGAAACTGTGCCCCAAACACCCTAACAGACAGGCAATACAGAGTATTTTGAGGCTATTGAGCAGCTTCAAGAACAGCTGGGAAGGGGCTGGTTCAAACCGGGGAGGAAAGTGACTGTGGGGTGGCACCCTGGGAGGAGGTGGAAAACAGTGAAGGGGCAAAAGTTGGTGTGTGTTATTTGGAGCTTGTCTTTTCCCCAGTCCCACAGGGCGATGCACCTTAGCATGGCTAAGGGGGGATGAGCCCATCTCCAAACAGAGGATTGCCATCCACAAGACGCAGCCTTCCCAGACACAGCAGGAGCAGCACGGCTGCCAGCAGCGAGGAGCATAAACCCACATGCTTTCCCAAAGGTCTCTATTTCACAGGTCAACACAGCTCCAAATTGCAGCAGCAGCAAACCCTGGCTCTGTGGGAAGCTGCCGCGCAGCCATCAGGGCTCTGATCAGAGCAGCCCTGACCCACTTGTGGAGCCACAAGATGAGAGCCCATCGTGGTGCCGGGTGTTGTGCCCCATTGCAGAGGCCTGGGGACACGTCGCAGGGGAGGTGCTGGTGTGGGGGACAGAGGTGTCTTCGCCAGGCTGCCCAGCAGCTCTGCACGCCCCACTGCACGGCAGCTCCTTGAGTCACTGGTGTGAAGAGCTTGGCCAGTGTGCTCCTGGAGACACCTTCCTGGCAGTGCTCTGGCCATGCACTGGCTCTACCTGTACTGCCTCATCTGCCCATCTGTCTGTACTGGGTCCCTGGCTCCACGTTATCTGGTGGCACTACAAGATTTTAATGCTGAAAAGCATCAGCTATGGGAGTCCCATCACCAGCGAGAACCAAGGGAAGAACTTGCCCACACTGGAGTTAGAGTGCAGCAAGATGAGGTGCGAGGCTGTGTCTATTCCCCCCTCATGGGGTGGGTGTTTTCTCTCCATGACAAAGCTGCTTCATTCTGAAGGAGAAGCATCTACTTGGAAAAAGAATAAAACCTTTCCACCCCAGATGAACCACTGCTCTATCAGGATTTGCCATTCCTCCCCAAGGAAAGCATCAAGAAAATCTTTCCCCCACCCCTGGTATAACTTAGGTGATGTTATGGGTGGAGAAACTGAGGCACAGAAGCAGCTGTGAGCCCGAGTGGAGTCCCAGGGTCAGAGCCATGGGCTCTGATCACTGGTGGGACTCTGGGCAGCTTAACCCCCCTTCCTTTAGGAGGGGAAATCCTCCCCCCTGCAAACACAGGGACAGCAGAGCAATGCCCCACGACAGAGACCACAGACCCAGGAGAGCGCTGGGGTCAGCTCCTTAAGCTCAGGGGCCTCCAGGCTGGCTGGAGCCACCCTCATCTGGCAGCCAGATGTGCTCCAGCTGCCTCTGTGCGCAGGGGTCGATGCTCCCTCTGCCGAGCAGCAGTGACAGCAGCCGCGCTGTGCAGCAGTGATGCTGCTGCTCGGGACACACAGCCCAGCTCATTTCACTGCCCCTAAACTTGCTGGCAATGGGAATCCCAAAGTCTGCACCAACAGACACCTCCCTCTGCCCCCCCTGCCCCACACTCACTTGCTCCTCTCCTTTCCCCTCCAGCTCCAGCTGCCTCCCCAAAGCACCCACGCTCCTCTGTGGTCTGGAAGGGGGATAAACCCAATCCCCCCACCCTCCCCGAATGCTGGGAACGTACAAGTCAGGGTTTTCACAAGCTTTCCCCCTCCCGTGCATGCTTCAATATCATCAGCTATTTTTCCTCTGCTGCAGGAAGCAGAGGAGTGATGGATGGGAGGACTGATACAGAACCAGAGCCATGTGGCTTGCTTCATCACCACCAGTGAGAAACG